AAATAAGCAAATCTCCATGATCAAGAAAAACAACTTGATTTCCATAGCCAAAAAAGCAAAGACACAAATTTCACATGTTTGCAACAACTATTACTAAGCAAAGGTAAAAATTATCAAAGGTGAAATTTTTTACGCCATACTAGCAGATAATGAAGAGGATTACTACACAGAGGAACCTAGCACTTGGGTTTATCAAAACCCCAGTGCCTGGGTTTCATCGAACCCAAGCACTTGGGTTCCTTCGAACCCATGCTTTTTCATTTCCCTTCTGTTTGTTGCTAAATTCTATTAGGTTCAAAGGGGAGAGAGAAAGAGAAACAAAAAACAAAAACAAAAACAAAAAAAAAAAAAAGAGAAGAATTTTTATTTTTTTATTATATTATTATTTTTTTTCCATGTCCAGAGTACAAGCTGGATTTGCTAGCATGTAAAAAAATCTAAGTTGGCACTAACATGTGAATGTATGATGGAGGCTAACGATGCACGTATTGCATGTGACCTTCTAATGTTAAATTTTGCCTCATTTCCTTAAACTCGAAAACATGAAGGATAAAAACCCATATATTGTAATATGAGTGGTAAAGTGCCTCAAACTCAAAAAGTTGAAGGGCAAACGGGGGGTTTTTGCCGTTCTTTCATACGCTTGACCTTGAATATTTTGAATGCTCATATTGTGATACAATAAAACAAAACAAATCTATTATTTAAGAGTTAATGCATATGTATTTCTGACATGTAGTGCATCTGGAAGATATTCCTTTACAAACCCATCTTTATTAACAAATCTAATAACAATTTACGTTTGTTCTCTTTTAGATTCATCACAAACTTCACCAATAATTAAATAAAACTTTGTGTCACCAAATCCTTTATGCTTTGTTTGGAAACGTGAATTTGAGAGGATTATATTTGAATTTGGGAATTATAAAATCAAATATAAAATTTGTTTTTACAAAATATGAGTGCATTTAAATTTTGATTTATGTACATGTATTTTAACCTGTGCATTTCAAAGACTAAATTACATGCATTTTAAATACCCTCTCATACCCATGAATTTGACAGTGAATTTCAAATTCTTTGCTCATTCTCTACATCTTCCTCTGCAATAAGCTAGCTTCTTTGTGATGAAGCTCCAATAATCAAGTCACTTATGGAGAGGTAGTTTATTGGTGGTGATACCGAGACCTCCATAAACTTGTATTTTTGGGTTGATGACTTGAGAGTGGGCAAAATAGGCAGTGGCCAAGTCAAGGAAAAGGCAAGACTTCTTGCAACTCGTAGCACCCATGATGAGAAGAAGCTTGTGTCTTTTAGTTTTTGGTGGTGGGCAATGGTGATGGGGTTAGCAAAGTTCATACAAAGTTGTTGTGAGTGACGATAAAAATGTCTATTAAGATTGTCTATCCAGTGTTTGTAAAAATGTCTCAATGAGAGGCATTAATATCAAATCAATTTCAATTTCAATTTCTTAGTAGTTTGATTTATTCAAACTATGTATTTATTAAGTATTTACAATATATATTTAAAATACATACATTAAATTCAAATTCAGTTTCCAAACACAACTTTACAAATTTCTGCTTGCATATTTCTAGAAAAAAATTGTAATATCTCAATTTGAATTCAAAAATCATGGTAATTTTCTTGAGATCATCAATCTTCTAGCTTCTTATAACAAGAAAGGCATTTCCTAAGATAACTTCCTTATTATAAGAAGCTAGAAGATTGATAATCTCAAGAAAATTATCATGACTTTTTGAATTCAAGCTTTCGTCACCCCTCTAACAACAATTGGTTCTTAAAATCAATAGATGCTTTGAGAAATATATAATCGATTTTCCACAATCCATTGTGAGCTTTGTTTTGGCAACACCTTTTCAATATAATATGATTGATTCTTAAAATCTTCAAAGCATCTAATAGTAATATTATGAACAAAATTTTGATCCTTTTCCTTGTGAGCTAAAAATACATATTTATCCCGTTGTCAACTTCCCTTTTTTTTTCTTTTTCTTTTTTTTTCCCATTTTCTAAACCTTAGTGAAGTAAATGTCTTGACCCCTGCTTGTTTTCCACTTGGTTTTTTTGGCAATCAAGTAACAATGAAAACAAGAGGTAGTATTTTTCTATATTCTAACCAAAGAGTTCTTTCCAATCAATAAGTTTGAAATCGATGAAGGTTTCCTTCTAAACCAGAAAGTGAATAGACAAGTGAGTTGTTTCAATGTGGATCAAATTATAAATATGCCTTGTGAATTCATCTTGTTGATTGATAAAATAATTTAAAATTTTTAGATGTATGCCCGGATCACATACCAAAAAGGAAAATATCAATGTTTTGTCCAATATTCAAAATTTTAAATAGAGATTGTTCCAAATTAGGCTTGATGTGGTTAAGGTTGAACAACATTTTCACTGCCAGATGCAGACTCTAAATTTGAAATTGATGCTACTAAAATAGATCATATGCCATGATCATCACTATTCTCTCTTTTCTCTTAAAAATGAATTCAATTATTACTTTTTAAACATCTTTCAACCTAACAAAAACTTCAACCCATTAAATAATTGAATAAAGTAATAATTACTGGCAAATATTGTTGGACGTACTCAAAACAATAAATGAATATTTATGCCCTTCATGAAAAATATATATATATTTTCAACGAAAAGATCCTACAAACCAATTCCACTTTAACAATAGAAATTCTATAAGATTGTTGCTACTATTATACAAAAGTCCTTTTTTTTTTTTCTCATATGACGTCGTTGCTCTGTTTCAAGCAATGTTAAAAAATGACATCGTGTTTTTCTAATTCTCTCCAATTAATAAACAAATAAATTAAATACTTTTCTGCAGTTTCTACATGTTTTTTTTTTTAAGTTATTAATTCAAATAAAATATTTAGGGCATCACATTCATCATGATGATTAGGGCATCACATTCATAATTTACCAAAAATTTAACAATTGCAAAACAAAAGCACTTAACTTGAAAGGAATTAAATTATGATGAGTAATTTCAAAAAAAAAAAAAAGGAATTATAGTTTGGTTGAACCCTTATATCTGTCGTCAATTTGGGATGGGGACAATATGCCTTTAATAAGAAATAATAGTAAATTATCTCTGTAAATTATCAATTAAAATATATGACTTGTTATTTAATAACTGACATCATTACACGTTAGTTCTCAATTAAAAATAGGCTTAGGTGATAAATAAATTCTTAATGTATGATAATACCAACTGTTAAATAATAAATCATTTATCTTGATTAACAATTTAAAAAAGTAATTTATCTCAACTCTTTTTTGAGGGACAAATTTGTTACTATCCTTACTTGGGGTTTTGCCTTATAGTTCTTCAATCACTCAACAAAAGTAACTGTAAAGAGAGTAAGAATATAAAGAAAAAATTAATGAACTTCTTAGAAAATTACTAAAATGCTCCATCCGTTGAATCAAATTGGCCAGAAGAGAAAGGGGAAAAATACTTTGTTTTCTTGCAATTTTGGATACCACACCACTAAATTGACAAAGAATTGTTCAAAGAAATTGTACGCTTTTGAGCCTTAACCTTTACCTCTCCCAAATTTTCCGCTTTAGCATTCTCTTTCTATTTTAATATGATCAGAGTGGGAGTCCATGTCACCAATTTGTTTTGTTGATTTCTCTAGTTATTATAAGGGCTTTGGTATCAAAATGGACTAAAGTGGGATGGTTTCTGTAGTCATTACAGGGTTTTGGTACGATGGGCTAAGTGGGTTGCAAAGAAATTTTTTTAAATCTAATTATTTAAGACTCCATTGTGATTTTTTATTTTTATGAATTTTAAAACCATTGAAGATCAAAATTATAA